TTTGCAAGCAGACATTCGTCCGGAGCAATTTGTGAAAAAGACATTAGGTAGAAAGCCAATTCTTCCTGAGAATATCGAAAAAGAGCTGCTGGAATATATATTGTTGATGGAGGTCATATTTTTCTATTATAAAAGCATTTTTGCGATAAAATACATTGGAGTAAATAATTTTGTAATTATTTAACATTCTTTGTACTTTCCTATTTGTTTTGGCTACATTAAAGCATTTTTTGAAAACATACAGTAAGGTTCCATATTACCACCCGGTTTTCTCTGAGCCTACTTTCTGACTTTTTGTACAAAAGCCTTCAAAAACCATACTTATAGTTACACTAGCGAAAAATCCAATTAGGAACATTTAGTTTAATAGTTACCAGTACTTTTCGCACAAAAAATGTGGGTGTAGTTATGATACCTTGTTTACAATTCTCTAAAATGTAATTCTGGTTCCATAATATCACCTTCTCCTCTATTATTAATTTATACAGTTAAAAATAAAGTAACTTTTATTATGAATTTTGCAAATATCTTAAGAATCAGCCAAACTGATTCTTCATCCTTTCAGGCAATATTTGCTTAATTCATTTTAAGCATGATTCCTAATAAAGTAAAGCAATATAAAAAAATTTTACAAAAAACATAATATCACCTGCAGCGATTTGAGGAGGATCAACGCTTGACTTATTCTTCAATTCTTCTACCCACGACACTGAAACTCCATCCATGAGGCACTCTTCCCATAATGTAGCCATCTGTTATTTTATAATTTCTTTATTTCCATCTTCCACAAATTATTTGAAAAATGCTTGTTTGGCATGTTTAATGTAGCCATAAAATCTGGAATAGTGAATAAAATAATAATATCTTTCTTAACGTAGGCGGAGTAACTTCGCCATAGACCATGGTTCGGAATTCTAATACGGGTCCCTTCCCCTCACAATTATCATCTTGCTGCAAAGAATGGGACTTGAATTCCGCAAAAGAAGATTTTAGCCCTTGACTGAAAGTAAGAATCATTCGACCCACGATCAAAACAGAGCGAAGTGGTAGCATGGCCATATACCTCTTGGTAGCGTGGCCATATACCTCTAAACCTAACCAATTATTGCACAATTCATTGAACTATTGATGTATTGTTAATGAGAAATTACATGTCATTTATTACATATATTTGCCTTTTTTCCAAACTTTATGGCTACTTTTTTATGTACTACATAAAAATGACGTTTACCTTTTGTAAAGCAGAAAACGATCCTTGTTTATCGCCATTTCTATATAAAGCTTCTCCTAAATAATAATAACTACAAGCAGTACCAACGTGATTCATACCCAACAATTCAACAGCGTAGACAATCTAAAACGAAAATTTATTTAAATTTTACACGAAAAATTTTTAGTTATGAAATTCTAAACATACATTTTCCGAGAAGAAATATATTGCATTTTTCAGCTTATTTTCGGCTAAACTTAAACGTCCCCTGGCTCTATTCAATGTAGCCAAAATCTTGTTATCAGATTTGTGTTTAGTTTTTTTATCTATCCATTCGGCGAACGAAATTGCATGAGTGGCTTGTTGAAGATCCTTACAGTCCAGGCATATTTCAGCAAGAATAGAATAAGGAATGATGAATTCTTTAGAGTTATCTCCGAACAATTCCGGGCACCATTGTAAACACTGTGATAATGCAGGCAAACTGAGATGGTACTTTCCTTCCATGAAATATTCTTCCATTTTCAGCGTAGCAATGACATAAATCTCTTTCTAAATTGAATCGTTTATCATGAAATTCAATTTAAAAGACGTCATTTCATAAGGATTATTCAAAATATTGTCAGAGAGCTTATATCATTTATCATAATTGGACGAAATCGCTCTCACAATATTATGAATAAGCCTTATAAAATTGGTGTCCTTTGAAAATAAAAAATAAATCAAAAATTACCTTTAATTTTTCAATCTCTTGTCGAATTTGACGACTTCCTTTTACGGTTGAACTTGCTTTCATTTGAAGGTTTAAAAGTTTATTACAGATGTCCTTATGTAAGCTTACCCAATCGTTTTGCTGATGTTCTGATGAACTATCATTTAAAATACGTTTATGTAAATTGTTCTGGTAAGAACAGTCAGCTCTTTAGTTATCGTTAGCGAAATGAAATTTAATTAGAAATTAGTAGAATTAGATCTGACTTAAATCTAAGCAATTTAGACAATGGCCTGGGACTCGAAATATCCATAATTCGGCATTGTTTAACAAATTACTAAGGACTCTTTTATGTTTCATTTTTTCCTGCCCTATGGCACTAAGAGAGTTTTTTTCCTAGTCCAACGTGAGTTCTGCGAGGCTCACAACGGTTAGGGATGGGCCCGACATGTACAGTACTGTACAGGATGTCCCAAATTAAATTTGACATTTTCCAGCTGGCTACCTCAAAAATTATTTATCAGAAAATCATGAAAATTTGGGAATGCCTTAAGACATTCCCAAATTTTCATGGCCTTCTGATGAATAGTTTTTGCTGTAGTCAGCTGGGAAATGTCAAGTTTAATTTGGGATACTCTGTATATATTCTTATGTATTCAAATACTTGTGAAATATTTTTAAATATTTCTACAACTAAATAATTTAGTATTTAAATTTTAAAGTACAACAAATTTCTAGTAGTTGGTACAGAAAAACCTGTCAAAACTTGCCTGGGAAAAAATTCCGTGCCGTGCAATTTCGGTTTACACGGGTTTTACTGTATTTTCAAACACCGACTTGCATCGGGTGTTCGGTACTTTAGAAAAGAATTTCAAGCATAAATACAAATATTAGGATACTTGCATTTACGCTTGAGAATCAATATCATTGACTTGAATCCTGAATTTTTTCGGAATTTTAATTAGTAGCTTTATTTTATATATTATTTTACTCTATATCTCTACTGGAAAAGTGATACACACAGAAAAAAACAATGTCAAAAGTGTTATGCAAGTAGCCAATGGTTAAATATATCTGTGATGCAAACCGCATCGAGAAAAAAACTCATGCAATGATTCCTGTATGGGTGAGAACTGAGCATCTTGTGACTGTTATATCATTGGGAACAATAGGGATGAAGAGAAACAAAACACCTTTTTTGCCGAGAAATAAATATAATTGTAAAAAACAAACGTTTTCAGCCTAATTAATAGGCCATCTTCAGGTCGAAAACGAAAATGGAACGTAAATGTTCCATGAATAGAACATAAAAATTTTAAATCAAAAAATTTTTTACAAGTGAAAAAAATAACGGAAGAATATATAAAAATTAAAATAAAACAAATAATAAAACAAAAATAACATAAATCTTCAATGTACTAATTCTGGTCCAAGTTTCTACTAAATTTTTTTACAATTATATTTATTTCTCGGAAAAAAAAGTTGTTTTATTTCTCTTTATTTAATTGCTGAGCGCTTTTGATATTAATGGGGATGAAGTTTCGGTTCTTTATGCTTCTGTTTAAAGAGGCCATACAAATTCGACCGATTGAGCACGTTGAGAAAATGCTTAGGTAGAGCATTTCCATAATGGTATATCGTTATTTGTGTCGTAGTGACGCAGATATGAGATCATATAAGGGATAGAAGATCTACACCCTATGAACAAAGCTCTAGTCGGCTTGTAGGAGAACACGGGATAGAAAAAGAAGTCCTAACTGTTTCAATGACGTCATTATTCAGCAATGTAGGCCTTTCTGCGATATCCAGTAGCTCAGTTGTCAGAGGGCATACCATCGACACTAGAGATGTAATGGTGTGGGAAGCGATCTTATTGGATAGCCCACATCCCTTACATAATACGACGCTCGCTGAAGGTATCGTGGGTGATTTATGTGGATGGTACTTATGCTAATTTAAATTAATTTAATAAACTATCTAATACAGTATATTACCAGGAATACGTACGAATAGCATTTTGAATTTAAGATTGTCCTTTGTTCTTTTCTAAACTCGTTTTTATTTGAAAAATTAGAAAATTTTCTGATTTCTTTATGGCCTAAGAGCTTCAAATACTAAGAGCTGGTAAATGAAATTTATTTCGATATAAATAAAAATAATTAATAATGGAAAATAACTGTTAAAGGAATGCAATTTTAAGAAAGTAATGTTGATAAATTAATTCCAAATAATAATATTTACAAGTTGTAAAGTGCCCACAAGGAAACTAAACAAATTAAATGGAACGTCTGAAGGTCTAGCTTTATTTACTAATAAAATTTTATAGTTTAAATGTACTGTACGCATCTAATTGTATTATTGCAATAATAATAATGTTTATTACATTTAATAAAAAAAAGTCCCATTCTTACCAATAAAAAGCAGTTTTACATTCTGTACAACACAGCGTAGAATCTAGCCTTCTGCAAACCTGACATTCCATTTTGTGATAAAAATATTCGAATTTATATAATTTTAAATTTTAAAGTCACAGAATAAAAACAAAGATTTAGTACGTAATGATAGTACGTAATGTCTTCGAATTACGTACTTAATACGTAATACGTAATGACTTTCAATTACGTAATGTAGCTAAATTTTTGTTCTTATTCTGTGATTTTACAATTATATAAATTGTACTGTATATACTGTATATGTAGTATATGTACAGTACTACATTAATTACAAGTAATAGATTGAATTGGATATGTTTTATATTTTTTATGGTGTTTTATAATCTATTTATTTATTTATTATTACTATATACATAAAAATTGAATATAGACGTATATTTAATCTCAAAATAAACGTTATCGTTTACTATACACCTACTTTTGGTTCATCCTGTCTATAGAACATATATTAGAAAATTATATTGTTAACCTGTTATAATTATTTTAAATTTCCGACACTTTTTGCAAGAAATTTGAGATCATAAAAAATAAAACACGCCATACGACGTGATGTTTCAATATTGGAAGTTTTTATTCTGTGTTATTTAATTCTCTATTTGACCCTTCTCACAGAGTAGCCAAAGCAGGCCACACTGTATTATGTCTATTACATCATGTAGAACTTAGCCTGGAGTTGAGTTAAAAGTTACGTTCTACATCACAATAAAAACTTTCGAGTTGAGTGACGTCAGAATTTCATTTTAAAAATTATAAATACTATTAGACAGATTCACGAGGGTCTCATTTAATCTTGTGGTTGGAACTGAGCTGCCGAGGCACTCATCATGCCGACACTTTGAGGCAATCTATCAAGTCACGGATCACATGGTTTGCTTGGAAGTGGCTCCGAACACACCAATTGATCCATGATTTGGCGAATTAACTCAAAGTGACGTAATAGAATCCAGCACGTGATTCATGACGCGAGTACCCAATTCTGCGGCGATGTTTTCCACAGTCTGTCTGTTAACACGAACCGTGGCATGTTGAGGGTCACTGCTCGTCTATGACAGTCTCACCTCCAACACAAAATTGCTTGCCATGAGCCATGTATTTTCATCACTAAAAATTATTTACTTATTGTTTTTTTCTTTATTTCGTTAACTGAAATCAAGCGATTAATTCACACAATTATCATAATTGTTAATTTCACGGCAATTCTCTGAGTGTCAAAGGTGAAGCCATCTTTACAGGCCTCCTCTCATAATCGCAGAGTTAAATCTAGCGTTCAATAAGGCCATTCTGTTATCCCACCACGTCTTACCCTTAAAATACTTTATATATGTTTAACTACGGTATAATGTTTAAAAAATACAATTGTTAAAATCAAGTCCCTTTTCCCTCTTTCTCTTCCTTCTCTCCTCTCGCTCTCGTTGTTTATTAATTCAATATTTTTGGTTTAATTTTTTCAAAAATTTGTATAAATTTTCATTTAAAGATTAGTTTACATATTAATCATAATAGTTATTTTTGGTATTTTATAAAGAAAAATAAAATAAAGAATCATTATTAAAGACGTATCTGACTCGAGTACAGGAGTTGAATTTTCAATATGGCGGAAGTAACTGGTAAGAAGTTTTTCGTTTTATCGACCGTTTAACTCTTAGCAAAGAATTATCTTGGAAATTTAATAATCCAGATTGATACACATTTAAATCAGATATTCTATATTAAATCCATAGAATATCATTTATTATTATTTAAAAAATGAAACTTAATATTCAAAATATCTGTACGAGATGGCTCAAAAGTCAGTTAAATATGATATATATATTTTTTAAATAAATCTGTTAGCTGACTTTTGGGTCACCCTGCGTATAATTCTCTAATATACACGAAATATTCTCCTCTTTGGATTTTATTTATTTAAATATAGAAATGTTGCATCTACAATAAAGAAAGGCCTTGATCATTGCTTATGGAGGTTTTTTAAAAACATTGTATCAGCTTAGTTTAGTAATTATCTAAAACTTAATTAACTTAGGAATTGTTTTCAATATTTTAAATACACGCTTCAGTTTTAATTTTTAATATAACACAATATATTTTTAAATAATACAGAAAAATGTTTACATTATTTGTAATTTACGCCAAAAGATGGCAGCACTTACCTTTTCACAACCCCAACTTTTGATCTCTATGAAAAAACAATTTAAACATTCGAATTTAAACACTTTATAATTGACTTAATTATTTTTTTCCTCGTTTATTCTAATAACTTAAGTAATTAATAAAAAAAATTACAAAATATTAATTGTAGCTTTTATGTTTTTTCCTCGTTTTTAAATTATTTAATAATTAAGGAAACAATATATCAATATTTTAATATCAATTCTAATTTAAAATATAATATTTAGTCCAATTTTTGGAGTAGTTTTTATACTTAAAAACATGAGAAAATAATTTTAAGTTCCTCGTAACGCCTGGCCCTAAGCTACAGCTTGGGGCCTGACAGTTTAGGGCTTCTTTTCTTGTAAATTTATTGTTGTTTGATGGGGAAAAAGGCCCCTTTAAAAGCTTCTTACAAGGAAAATATTGATTTAAAACATAATATAATCAAACCTCTGAACAACGGCCACTGACGGTAACGTAAAAAGTGGCCATTGTTTGGAGTTCATTTTATATGCATTTTAAAGTGGCCGCCGTTTAGAAGTGGCAAGGTTCCACTACATTTTATATGATGAAGTTGAAGTAAATGGAAAAAATTTTTTTAATGTTAATCAAAAGAAAACTGCTTAAAATAACAAACAAATAAATATAATTCGATCCAAATGAATTAATGTGATTGATGCGAATAAAATACATTAAACATACCTTATATTTTATTTTTTACTGTTATAATCTGTTTGAAATTTCCGACATTTCTTTTTACAAGAAATTTGAAATTATCCGTCACTCAACGTCATATGGCGTGATGTTTGAATTAACCAATTGCATTTTAGCTACGGCGCGGAGTGATACACATTCAAGATTCGGCACATCGGCTCTATTATTATTCCAAGAAGTAGTATGGAATATTTTTTACTATTTACATTTTTCTTTTATTGAATTACAAAAAATATACAGATTTTTAAAATTTTTATCTCGCTTAATTCCAAAAAAAACTAAAATCTTACTCAAGTTTAACACGAATCGCCGCGCACTTCGCTTCAAACAATTGCGGATTTAAGGATTTGAAAAGACGCTTTAAAAGATGCAAACCTGTAATTTACGAACTTTTGAATAATTGATAATGGATCTTCATCTCATTTCCTATAAAAAAAAAAGCAAAGAAAATGAAGCATATCCATTGAGATGACACTAAAGATAAGAAAACTCAAAAAAACTTGCCTCACTTAGCATTGTCTTCATCCCCTTAAAAGCGTATAAAATTACAATCCACTTAAAAAAAAAACATTTCAAATATTTTCCCCAATTTAGCAAAATGTAAGGCAGGCACTTAAAACGAATACAGGATGACGATTTTAAAATACAGTCAAACCTCCGAACCACAGCCACTGACGAAAACATACTTAAAATGGCCGCTGTTTTCGTGTGTCCGTTATTGGGAGGTTCGACCGCACTAATTAAAAACAGTTTTGTAAGCGGGTTCGAAAGATTTGATCACTTAAATGTCGGCATTTTTTTTTTCTTCTTCCTTTGTGGGATTTTGATGAATATTTTTATAGACTATCAAAACCAGGAAGTGTTTATAACTCGTCCTTGTTTTATGGTTGGGTTGCGTCAGAATTGTCTTGCAACTCTCATTCTTTTAATAACTGTTGCTGTTATTTTATTGGTTCTGCAACATGTCACAAATCTTGTCAGTTATTTAATGAGATAGTATCTAGTCGTCGGCGATACTCTTATTGCAACATGCAATTAGTCTCCTGACATCATCATTCTTTGAAGAGCATTCAAGGGTAAAAATGATTGAATATAGATATTAAAACGAAATAATGTATATGTATATAACTTATATATATATATATATATATTTTGTTTCATAAAATTTCATGAAATTTTTAAATTAAAATTACAAAAGGTAACACAATATATATATATTTTTTAAATAAATCTGTTAGCTGACTTTTGGGTCACCCTGCGTATAATTCTCTAATATACACGAAATATTCTCCTCTTTGGATTTNAATTAATGCTGTAAATACTTAAAAATGTATTTTTTTAAACTTCTAAAGTTAAATTTATTTAAAGAATATGATATATTTATATTATTCTTCAACACGAACTCCCATTATGAGGATTATTAACGATGCGTTATAATAATTTTAGTAACATTCTTTGAATAATTTTAAAGTCAAAGAACTCGAAACGGACTTGTAAAATGTCTGATCCTTTATTCTTACCACGTTTCTCACCATGAAACTAGGCTTAAATTTTGCCATCAGCAATTAACTGCTAATTTATTACGAATGCCTTTAACATTCGCTTCAAATTAGTGTTAATAAAATAATTTAAAATAAGGGAATTTTCATTATTTAAATTAATAAAATATCTATCCTGTGAGGGATGGATGGTCGAGGAGGGTCGAGAGAGGGACGTTTTCTCAAAAGTCCCTCTCTCGATCCTTGTTATAAAATAATAAATAAAATTAATTTTATTTATTATTTTATAACCTCCTCCTTGTTATAAAGTAATAAATATAATTAATTTTAAATGGCTTTGTAACACCTATAAGTGTATTGTTTTGTTATTAAACAAGAGAGAAACAGTGTTTAGGAAAGGAAAATAGGATCAATTACACAGGTTTACATTACTTTTTTTCAACAAGTATATTGTTCTGTGAGTATGAAAAATATATTATCGAAATTAATTGACACGAGAAATTTATAAGAACGATACAATGGGAACAATAGAATAGAATTCGCTTCCAAATTAGTACCTTCTGATTCGACTATTTGAATGACCTTAAAGGAAAGTACACGTAAAGACACTTTCATGTATTGTATTTTAA